TTCCTCCCAAAGATGCACGTGCAATCTACCTGCTCCTCCAGCCACGGACGCCGACACTCACCTACGTGGCAGGACGGGACGTCAATGAAGCCTTTCAGGAAATTCCCCAAGGGGCTGTTTTCTGCTGACTGGAAGAGAGGGACAGAGGAAAGGTCACCTGGAGACGTCTGCTTTCTGCCTTTGCTGTATCTGCAGTAGCTCCGAGCGCAGGGCAGTGAGGACAGGTGGCCACAGTCGCCAGAACTGAGGCTATTTGAACCCTCCCTTCCCAATGCCCCTTTAGAAACCCTTGGTGCAGCCACACCTTGGATCCTGCACCCAGCCCTGGTCCCTGCACCTCCAAAAGGAGATAGGAGAAGTGGAGAAGGTGCAGAGAAGGGCAGCAAGGATGATGAGTGGCACGGAGGGTCTTCCCTAGGAGGAGAGACTAATGAGACCCGTTTAGAAAAGAGATGCTCGAAGGGCAACATGAGCAGGGTTTCCAAAATACTAAATCGCAAAGAGAAAGCAATAGGGATTTATTATTGCCTTCTCCCACCAGAGAAGAACAAGGGGTCACAGCACGAAACTAGTAAGTTTAAAACTAACACCAGGGAGGTCTTTTCCCCCAACAGCATGGCATGAAAGTGGGGCCTTGTTGCCCCAGAAGGGGTGGGGTTACCTATACAGCTGAGTTATCTCCCCTCCACATAGGCACACAGTTAACCCCTCGTGTTCAGGACAGCTTGAGGGGGTCTCTCCCACTGCAGCCTGGGGGCTGGGAGTGGAGCCGGCACGGGGGTTTGCACTCACAGCCTCATCCTGCTCCGGCGCTTGCGTGTTCAGCATCTCCTCCACGTAGTTGGCCGGGAACCAGAGCTGCTTCTTGCCCCCGTAGTCTCCTCGCCACCTGCAAAGGGTCACAGGAACAAGGCAAGCAGAGTGACTCGGGGGTGTAAGGGGCGTTCACACTGCACGCATTGTCGAGGGAATGGTTGGAACAGGGGGACAGAAAAGGAGCATTAAACCACATCTCAGCAGTGCTGGCAGGCCAGACAAGGACAGCAGCCACCCCCTGCGCAGCTGTGGGCTGGGGCTATAGCTACAGGTCGCTGCTACACAAGACCAGGACGTGGGACCTCCTCCCCAGGGCAGGCAGACACGGGCATGGTGTCGTAGAAAATGAGGGTGGGAAGGGACATCAGGTCCAAGCAGGACCAGCCCCAACTACATCATCCCAGCCAAGGATTTGTCTACCTGGGTCTTAAAAACCTCCAAGGATGGAGAGTCCCCCACCTCTCTGGGTAGCCTGTTCCAGTGCTTTACTACCCTTCCCGTGAGAAAAGTTTTCCTAATATCCAACCTCAACTTTCCTTGTTGTAACTTGAGCCCATTGCTCCTTGTCCTGTCATCTGCCCCCCTGAGACCAGCCCAGCTCCATCCTCTTTGCAGCCCCCCTGCAGGGAGGTGAAGGCTGCTATTTGATCCCCCTCGGTCTTCCCTTCTGCAGACTCAATCAGCCCAGGTCCCTCAGCCTCCCCTCACCAGTCCTGTCCCCCAGCCCCACAACCATTTCCATTGCCCTCCCCTAGACTCTCTCCAATGTGTCCACATCCTTTCTGCATGTCCAACGAGGTGTGCTACTGCAAGCCTTCACCTCTCCACTTGCCTCTGAGCCATCCCCTCAATCAGGCCAGGGGCTAAGACACTGCATGGCTCCCCTAGCCACCAAGATTGCAATGCTCTGACATGCCCCGATGGGATGAGGGATGCCTCTTTCACTCGTTCCTCAGGACAGGGTCAGGAGAGGAGCCAGCCCCTGGCACTGGGCTTTCCCAGGTCACTCTAGGCCTCAGCTGAAAGCAGCCTGAGGAGCAGGCACTCACCAGCCTCCGTCCTGCTTGTCCACATTGTGGATGATGGCCTGTTTGCAGAAGGAGAGCTCGTCTTCCCGCTGCGCCTTGTAGTCGTACAGGGCCTTCACCGTGCACTAGGCAAGAGCAGAGACACAGGCTGGCATCACTAGCGCTCCTGGGGTGGGAGTTGCAAGGCGAAGCTTGCAAAGGACTGCAAGCCAGGTCCCTGTCCCGTGGCATCCAGCCCCATGTAAACAGTGCTTGTAGAAGAGAGGAATAGATGGGATAGTCCTGGAGAGCCCTGGCCACGAGTATCTCTATACACGCTGTAGTCAGCACTGTCACTCTAATCATTCACGCTAATCAAGCTAAGCCTCATCACTTCTTTGTACCCCCACCATCAGCTGCCTTCTGTCTTACACGCAGATGTTTGAGGCAGGGGCCAGCTCTCCGTCCTGTGCTTGTACAGCCCCTAGCGCAATGCGGTCTGATTGGGGAGCTCCAAGAAACTGCTCTCTAGCCCGTGGCCATAACAACTCACATGCCTCCTGACTGGCAGCGGGGCACTCCTTGGTAGCACGGGCTATCCCGGGGGGTCCCCTCATAGTCTCGCTGGGTGACCATTTATGTGAGCAATTAAACCCCCCTTTCCCTTTCAAGGCTGCCAGTGGTCTGACAAAGTGAGCTTCAGCTCACAAAAGCTTGTGCGGTATATACATACCCCCCACATATATTTATCATGTACACACACTTTGGTTAGTTAGTCTATACGGTACAAATCTGCCCTGCCTTCTTCTCAACTTCAGACAAACACGGCTAACTACGTCTGTTAATGGTCGCCCTTACCACCCTGGAGGTAATAGCTCCAAACTTCTGTAATTTCCCAGAAAAGAGCTCCCTTTTGGCCCAGCCTTCCCCTGGTTGGGCTCAGCTGAAGGGCTGGTCTGTCCGAGGACAGAAGTCAGAAGTATAAAAGTGTCCTGGAAAATGTTTGACAGCCTGCACTGCGCCCCGCCTGCATCCATTTGCTCCATCCCTTTCTGAACCCACTCGTGGCCTCCGCCGCATCCAGCGGCAAGGAGTTCCACAAGTGAATGACGTGCTGCGTGAAAACGTATTTCCTTGTGCTTGCTTCACACTTGCAGCCCGCTGCCCCCTTGTCTTTGTATTACCAGACTCCGGCCGGCACTCTCTTACCCTGGCCATTGGCATCTTGTTGGCCTCCACGTAGAAGTGGGGGGTCCGCACCTCATACAGGGCTCCATAGTCCAGCTCCTGCAAGGCCGGGCAGCAGAGTTAAGCGGGCAGGCGGTCCCCTGCTTCCCCCTTTCCCTATTCTGGGGCTGGGGGAAGAGACCTGAGAGCATCTCCACTGGGGAAGAGGAGACTGGGGTGGGATGGAGGTGCCCAAATGGAGCCATGTGGCATGCAAGGCAGGGAAAGCCGTGTCCTGCCATGGGGGAGCAGCGGCAGCTGGGGTGTATACCCCTGGCCTAGTGGTGAGGGGCTCAGCCACGTCCTTCCCCCCTCGCACTGCTCCTCTATTGCAGACATCGAAGGGCATACGGCCCAAAGACCCAGGTGAAGGTGGCACGTGACAGCACGGCACACCTGTGCTCTCTCCGGGTTGTGCTTGTGGGTGCACGCCCGGTGCTGCTCTGTGTCCAGGTTGGTGCACACAGCCCCATTCAGACCCACATTTGCAGCCCAGCCCCTCTTGCCCCTGGTCTGCTGCATCTCTGGGGCACGCCTCAGCAGTGGGGCTGCGCTCAAGCAGTCTGTGGGCTAGAGGCCAGGTTGCCTCCTTCCTGTCGCTCCTGTGGGGACCCACGTCCAGGGGCTGATATGGGGGAAGCATGCTGGTGCATTCAAACCACCCTTTGATCCCTGCTCCACCCAAAATTTAAAACCCGAGCTTGGCAGCGACAGCAGCATTTCTAGTCGTGCTGAGGGAGTCAACTGAATCATGCAGCCCTAGCCCCCCCAGCCTAGTAACACAGCTTCTTGTGCAGTTATAACCGGAGAAAAGTAGGCGTTGGTTTATATATGATGCACCTCACCCTGTGCACCCCCCTTTTTACAATCCTAGATCCACCCATGCCTGTAGCCACGGCAGAGCCCAGCCTTGTCCTGCCTGCAATGCCCCTCTCATGCCCCCTGTCCCCATACTCACGGCGGTGCCCATCTTCTCCAGCGTCTCCTCGTTGATGGGGTAGCGCAGCTTCATCTTGCGGTACAGCGGGTGCTTCTCGTAGTAGCTCACCAGGTCCACCAGGCTCTCGAACTCGGCCGAGCTGCCCAGCATGAAGAGGCGGCCTTCCTGCTGGATGCGGCAGTGCTTGATCTTGCCTTCTGCCCTGTTGGCAACACAACCCAGAGGGTTTAAGCCTGGGACGGGACGCACAGGGGGTGGGGGTGAGCTCGGCGGTGGAGTATGTCCTCTTGGAGGTCTTGCAAACTGGCAAGAGGGTTGCTCTGCTTGCTGCAGAAATGATGCACAGCAGCAGCAATGCAGAGCGCTGCAGGGCGAAGAAGCTTAGAGACGCACCCCGGGGTGGTTACAAGGGTACCTGCCCCATGGGAAATGCTGCCAGGACGTAGAGGGGTGAGCATCCTGGAAGGACAAGTTCCCAGCAGCCCTGGGACACAGAAGGAAAAGCCGGGTGCTTCTCTGCCCTGTGCCCAGCAATGAGCCAGTTTGCTGGGTCTGTGGGTGCCCGGGGTCCTGGGGGGGCACTCACCGGAAGGAGATGGCGTAGGAGCTGGGCTCGCTGCGCTTGCGCACCAGGAAGGCTCCATCTCGGGGCACCCGCATCAGCATGTGCTCGGCTTGCAGGCGGGTCAGGCTGGCGTGGTACCACCTGGGCCGGGGAAGAGCAGAGGGCAGGACCCGCACATTAACCTCTGCACGGGTGCCAGCCATGAGTCCTGTTGAGCGCTGACAAAGGGGCTGAGGCTGGGAGCGGGGCAAAACGGCTCTGATACTCCACTCCCTAGAGACACGCTAGGTGCACAAAGCCTTGGCTAAGGGTGCATGTGTGTCGAAGATGTATGTGTGTGCACACATGTGCGTATGTGCAGCACTTCCTTCTCCTCGAGGGAGTCAGGCCTGCTTTATTGCATGTGCTGCTGTGTTTGTGCAGGTGTGTGTGCAAGTATGTGTGAGCAGGCAGACTCTCTCCAATGCCCGAAGAAGGGTGTTTGTGCCTGAAACTTTGCAAAGAACATTTTTTCCAACTATTTAGTTGGTCTAATAAAAATATATCACATTTACCCAAAGAACCTTGTCTGCAAATATGTGTGTGTGCATGTGTGCACGCACACGTGTGTATGTGCATACATGTGAGTGTATGTGTCTGCATGTGCATGCAGTGTGATCTGTCCCTTATTCAGTACCCACCTTGACATCCACTATTTATTGATTTACAGCGGCCAGAGGAAACATCTCCAACCATTCTCTGCAATAGCCATTCATCACCCAGGAAGGTACCCCAGCCCTTGTTGCCCCTGACTGTGCTAGCTGCCTCCACCACCCTCGTGGCAATGAATCTCACCGGTTAACTACACGCTGGATAAACGAGTCCTTTCTCTTGTTCGTTTTACACCTGTCGCCTACATTTGCCAGTGTTCTGGGACTTTGTGAACAACAGTTCCCTGATTGCTCGGTCCAAACCCTTTTATAAACCATTTTTTTCATAAACCCATTTTATAAACCTCTATTCTATCCCCCCTCCATCTTCATTCCTGGCCTGGCAGCTGCTCCAGGCCCCTGATCATTTTGGTTACCCTTTTGGGGCCGTTTCTAATGTCTCTAGGATAGGTCTAGGAGGGAGACAAGGAGGAATGGGAGCAGCAGGGGGAAGAGGCAGGACAGGAAGATGCTGCACAAGGACCACGAGGGCCGGGGAGATGGAGACAGGAGAGCACGGATGAGCAGGGCCGCAGTGGGGGAAACTCTCACTCTTTGCTCTCGTGGGCGTTGGGCTGGGGCACAGGGTCCGTGAGCCGCATCTCGAACTCGTTGCAGCGCAGCGGCACCTCGCGGTAGTGGCAGATGAGGCTGTACAGGCTGTCGAACACCAGGTTGTCCGTCAGGTAGAACTTGGTGGTGCCGGCCTCCTGCCGGGAGTGAATGCGGCAATGCTGGACCCGGTTGGACCTCCTGCAGCGGGGCGAGACGTCCATAGCCAGAGGTGCCCAGGGGACGGTGGCAGGGGACATTCAGACGTGTAAACTAGTTTTAAGCACCCTTTAGGCGTCTTAAAGTTACGCCACTCAAGGGTAGGTTTATCTCTGATCCATGTTCCACTCCCCAGAGATAAGCCACCCAAGTTGCAGGCCTCCAGCATCCCAGGATGCAGTGCCCCTCCTGCTCCATGTGGACAACTCAAGCGATAGCTCCTAGCCTGGGCCCTGCTCACCAGCCCTCGAACGGCAAGTCACAGCTGTGCAGACCGAGTGTACATCTGCTCCGAACTCGCGCTAACGCTAAAGCCGATCAGCACTGGAGAAGCTGAAAGCACCACGTGTAACAAGACCCTTGGTTTGCAATGCAAACTGGCTCCCCGCCGCCCCGTGGCCGCCCTGCAATCACACCTACAGCAGGGGAGACCTGGCTGTGTGTCCACTCCTAATGCGGGAGCAAGCTCTGGGGTGAATTATCCCACAGGAATCACCGTGCGTGCCCGCAGCCCTAGCCCGTGGGATTGTGTTGCTCTCTGCGGCAGGTCCCAGCGATGGCAGCAGCCAGTGACTTACAGCTAATAGTAGGGTTTTTTAACCCCAGCCATGGGATCTGGTGCTTTTGGTACGGGAGGCCCCAGCTGGCTCCCAGCTGATGACTGTCTAGATCTGTGGCTCTTTACGTCGGCTCAGAGCCGTGATCCAAGCCCAGCTCCTCCTGGCTAAGGTTTTCTCCCCTCTGACAGGGGTCGTTATCGGTTGCTGTTGATAGTTTATCACGCAGCAGTGCCCGGCAGCTGGGAGGCTGGAGCAGGACCCCTCTGTGCTAGGCGCTGCACACACACACACAACGCGGTGACGGTCCTGATCCCGATCCTGGAGCAGTTAGGCACTGCTCTCGCTTGGGACTGTGCTAGGATGGAGGGAGACTAGGGGCTTTAGGGCACCCTGGGTAGGAGCTGGAGGAGAGAAAGTCCTCAATTCCCTGAGCCCCCGTGCCCCCCTATAGGGATGGGAGCCGGGGTCACGGTGATTGGGCATGAGGGGCCTACCAGAAGGAGAGGGTGTAGTCCCCCACGAAGGTCTCGCTCTCCCGCACCAGGAAGGTGCCGTCCTTGCCGCCCGTCTCGGTGCAGTACTCGTGCAGCAGCTTCTCGGCGATCTGGCGCCCGTCGCGCCCCCCGCCCAGCTTCCCGTGAAACCACTTCTCCGTAAAGTGCAGCTCGTTGTTGTTGAACTCCTGGAGAGGGGGGAGACGGACAGGGTTGGGGTGATGGGACAGACCGGAGCGAGACCAGGAGGAGACGCACAGAGAGAGGCAACGTGTTGAGTGCCACGGTCCAAAGTGCCCTGGGGAGGGGGCAACAACGACGCTTCAACAGAGCCCCGAAAAGCAACCCAAGCGCTGAGGCTCCCAAACCCACAGTTGGTGAATTGCCCCAGTTGCAATACGACAGCACGTGGACGCGAACGCCGTGTCTCGTGAGAAGCGCCACGGGCCGCTGCATGGCCGGCAGTGGCCAGGGCTTCGGTTCTGCGTCCAAAAAGGCAGGGCTGCTCCCCAAGACAGCTCCAGCCACTGCCTCGGTCTATCCCTGCTTAGCCGGAGAGCCACGCAGCCACGCGCCCTCGGGGCCCCGATCCTGCGCACGCCTTCCTCCCCCCGCGCCCACCTCCTTTGGCTCCACCTCCTCCTCGTCCTCGTTGAACTGGTAGCGCGACGTCTCCTCCGAGTAGTAGATCTTGTTGCTTGTCAGGACAAAGTAATGTGGGCTCCAGGTCTGCCGAGGAGAAAGCGGCGTCAGACCCGGACCCCGAGGAGGCTGCAGGGAGCAAGCCAGGGCTGCAGGCGTGTGGCACCAGTGCTGGGTAACAACCTAGTACTGCTACCGGGAAGTGGAGGCAGCTCCCACAGCAATGAGTAAGCTCAAGCCCTGCTGGAGACCCACGGGGGGTGGAAACCCCCAATCCCTTGGGGGGTTGCTCCACGTCCTTCCCTACAAGACCTGGTCGGGGCTCCTTGGGGGATGAAGGCGCCCTTCTTCACCCTCACCCTCTGCTGGGAGAAGAAGTGCGGCGAGAGAGGCACGTACGTGGTCGATGGGGTCCTCGAGGTAGAGGATGCCGTTCTTGATGGAGTTGCTGATGTCGTTCTCCGAGTAACTGGCCGTGGAGACCTCTTCATAGAGGTTTCCCTCCACCAGTTTCTTGTGCTGGGGAGCAGGAGTGAAAACGAGCAGAGGCAAATTACTGCGAGGGCCCGAGCCCAGGGCTTGCACCGGCCCCTGCCCTGGGTACGAGCCCCTGGGAGGACGCGCTGCAGAAACCATTTAGGGGAACCACACTGCTTGGTGTCGCCTCTTGTTAACAACTGGCTCCAGGCGCAGGGCTGCTGCTCTTTGAGTTTACGGCACCGCAGGCAAACAAGTGCACCTGGCAGTGAAAAGCACCCCCGGGAGAGCCACAGGATCGACCCCCCTGCACTTTCCCTGCAGTCTTCGAGTTTGGGGCTGTGACCCAGCGTCCCCGCGCTCTCCTTGAAACAGGGATGCATTTGGTAGCCGTGTTGGGCTGAGACAAAGAAGAAATGCAAAACTCTCGAACTCTTGGTTCAGAGATGATACCTTTTATTAGACCAACTAAGCAGCTGCAAAACAAAGCTTCAGCTTCAGCTTCCTCTTCAGCTTCCTCTGTGCAAAAATGAAGTTTGTTTTCTACTTATGGGGACTTTTTACCATCTGTAATTTCCCTGACCCTGAGGAAGGGCATGTGTGTCTGAAAGCTTGCAGAAAAAGATTTTTTTTTTGGTGGCTATTTCTTAGTTGGTCTAATAAAAGGTACCTTCTTGAAACAAGACTTTTATCTCCAGCTGGCCTGCAATCAGCATTACCGCTTTGCCTGTCTGCAGCAAGGGGAAGCAGCAGTGGTGCAAACGCCCGCCTGTCCCGGGGTCTGGGGATCATCTGGGACAGTGTCCTGGGTTTTCTCCCTAATTGCTGGCTGCTTTAGCTAGGAGAGCCTGGGACCATGGTTTAAATTGCATGGGGCTGGCAGGTTCCCAAGCCCCTTAGAGGTGTAGCAGGCAGGCGGAAGAGCTGGAGCAGGGGAAGTTCATCCCATCATGCTATGAAATTTCCAGGCTGGAGCTCTGGTACCACCTGCTTGCCTGGGATCATAACATCACATCCTTTGTGTAGCGGGGGGCCCAAAACCGGACACAGCCCCCTGTGCAGTCTGAGATGCAGGGCGAAGGGAAGAGATCCGGGCTCTTAGTGCCGCACCTTGATGAGGATTTTCTTCTTGAGCTGGGTGGGCGATGGCAGCTCGTCCGCATTGATGTCCACCGGCTTGGTGAGCAGCATGTCCCCAAAGACCTTCTTGAAGTGGGAGGCCATGTTCCTCTGCTGCACGATGCTGCAGTGGTCCTCGATGGAGAGGATGATGGGGAACCTGGAGGAGGACAGGGCTGACCTCTCAGGGGGGCGGCCGAGAGAGGAGCAGACCTATGGTCTGAAGCCCTAGCGCAGTCAGGGGCAAAACTCCCATGGGCTTGAACGAGGGCAGGGCTGGGGGCCAAGGGCATCCCACGAACTCGGAGCCCATCTCCATCTTTTCTGTCATCGCCCTTCAGGGATTTGCAGACTGTTATCAACCCCACCCCACCCTCTCCTCCAGAATCAATAACCCTACTTTTAGCCTTTCCTCGTATGTCTTGTCTCCCCGGTCCCTAAGCATTTTTGGTGCTTTCTGCTGGACTCTTTCCAGACTTCGTGAAGAGTGACACAGACCCCCAGGTGAGTAACCCTAAGGGATGGCCCTTACTCCGAGGTCACAAAGGCGTGCTCCTTGATGGTGTGCAGGACATCCAGGAACTTGATCTTGGAGGTGAGCGTGTGGCCGTGGTAGATGATTGGCAGGTCGTCCGGACCGTCCCAACAGTCCACTGTGGGCAGAGACAATTCAAGGGTTAACACGGTCATGCATGTGATCATTCTCCCGTTGCATGTTCGTACGGGGCCGTGACACGGCTACCACAGGGGATGGCTATGACCGCCCCTAGAGCCCGGGATGCAGCATCTGCATTGGCCAGAAGGGGGTGCTGTGGTATTCCTGTGTCATGCCAGACAATGGGCACTTGCTGGGAGCTGACACCCCCTTGGTTAACCCTTAGGTGCCCATGGTGCCCGGAGCATGCTTCCCCCACACCGGGTCCCAATGGGATGTGCAGGCCAAGCATCCCGAGGGCCACATCTGTGGGGGGCACGGCCAGTGGTTATGCAGTGCAGAGGCACTGCGCCAACGTGCAGGGCTGGAAAGTGGAGAAGCAGCACGACCCCCCTCACTGAACGGGGTTAGGGTACTCAGGCTGGTAGAAATGCCTGGGGAGCCTTACAGCTCGGGGACCTGGCTTCACATGTCACATGGATGCTGGTGGCAATGGGGCTTCAGGGCTAGCTCAGAGGAAGCAGCGCTTCCTACTGCATCTCCAGGTCCACTCCCAGGAGTACCGTAGAGGCCTCCCAGCTAAACAGCAGCCGGGACTCAGCCTGACCCAGCTCATCGCCCCAGCCCAGCCCCCAGGCCAGCATCAAGCCACTCACGCTCGATGCAGCGACAGCCCATCCGGAGGCAGCGGGCGTAGGCTTCCAGCGAGGACTCGCTGGAGAACTGGTCCCCGGTCAGGTACCTGCAAAGAGAATAAGGTGGGGGACTGAAGGGCCAAGCTGTGTCTAGAGGTGCCCAAGCACCTGGACGAGGAGAGGAAGCTGGATCCCACGTGCCCCCTGGTCTCTCTTGGCTATTCTGACCTCCTTGGAGTCCCTGGGCTACATGCCACCTGGGGAAGGCTGCCCTAGCCCTGCTGAACTCACTGGAAGCAGGTGGATGAATAGCAGCAAGCATCTGATCTATATTTAAGTCTCGTTTTCCAAAGTCCCTAGACTCTAGATGGAAGAGGCAGAGATGCTCCCCTAGAAAGCCCAGGGAAGATGAATGAGAGCCCCTGCCCCCCTACTCAATATGACATCCAAGCCAGAGGCCTTCAGGAGCTCATAGGCTAGAGGAAAGGGTCCCCAGTGCTGGCAGAGGGGTGGAGGGGGTGAGGGCTGCTTTAGCTTCCCCCCACCCAGCCGGGGCTCCTTCGGACGGGGATGATGCCTGGCTCTTACGTGTTGTGGGAGGAGGAGATCCAGTACTGGGACAGGGGGTAGTTCATCTCCTCCGGGACCACCCGCTCATACTTGGAGTCCATGACCATGTTCTCCTTGGAGAACAGGTATGTCAGGAACTGGGGAGGGAAGGAAAGCTGATTAGAGTCACGGACGCAGGGGTGGGCTCCTGGATGCAGGGATTCAGCCCAAGGCAAGATTGGGAGACGGGGCGCTGGGCCCAAGCGCTAACAGAAATAGGAGGAAGATGGTGGAGGAGAGTGGAGGATGATCCAGGGGAGATGGTCCAGTGACTTCAGTGTAACAGCTGGGGACGGGCCAGAGGCAGGGAGTCTGGGAGGGGGTCTTCTCCAGATGTGCATGGGGGGCGGGGGGGGCGCAGACCCATCCTTCGTTACAACCATTCCCATGTGCGACAGCGCAAGGTCACATGCTCTGGCGGGATCTTAGGATCAATAAATAGCAAAGCAGTGGCTGTGTCCCTTCAACGAGGACAATCCAATCTCATGCTTCAGAGCACAAAGAGATCCCCCTGCAAGGGTCAGGAAGGAAAGTCGTCTCCCAGATGTGCAGCACCATGCACCAGCCTAACGTGAGGGTCAGGCTGCAATACCAGACTATACGGCCTGATCTGGCCTGGCACAAGCTGCTCCCTGGTCCAAAGAGGTGTGCTGCCTGGGACTTTACACTTACACACACATGCAAGACACACCCTCTCCCTACCCCAGCCGGCATCATTCCCAAGTAGGAGTTTGAGGTCTGGCCAAGGCACTACAATTTCTACCACGGGGCTGGGTAAAGGCCCACCTACCTCATCCAGCTGGAAGAAGGGCTCTGAAATGTCACTGCAGGGGTCCCGGAGGTAGCCACACATGTACTCCCGCACCTTGCCGACGTCGTTGGCCCAGGGCTCCTGGAGAGGGGATTGCAGAGGGTAGTGTTACCAGAGGAGCTGCACCAGAGGCTTGAATATCAGTCAAGGCTCAGACCTGAAGGCCCAAGAGCCACACGTCATCTTGCCGGTGGCTTCAGCACCCCAGGGACATAAGGCAGGACCCTACCTAGGACTGCCACGCATGGCTGCACCGCCAGCCTGATCTGCAGGGAAAAGACCAGGGCTCAGCCCCAGCGAGGTCTTACCCAGTGGTTGAGGGACGCGGGTACTTATTCAACAAGTGGGCAACCTGGGTTTGACCCCCTAGCTCCCATTTTCTGGAAGAGCGCCCTAACCCCTGGGTTCAGCTCAGGGCCCCTTCTCTGGAGCTGAGCCATGGAGCGGCGGTGAGGCCGAAGGAGAAAAAGCAAGGGGCTGCGTGTGCCACTTGCATTCGATAGCAACTGGATATGCTGCATAAAGTGTACTGGGAGCCCAGGGCTCCCTCCTTCCCAGGGAACTGCCTTTTCCCCTGGTTATTCCTGCTTGTTTGCTGTCCCTGCTAACGTGGGGCAGCTTCTTTCTAGTCTGGATCGGTTTGGCTTCGGCTTCCTGCAGAGCCGGGGTGGCGGCAGGGAATGTGTCCCTCTCCCATTGACCTTTCCCGGAGAGCGCTGGGCTCATTTTCTCTGCTGAGATTGGGATGAGGTGGTTCATGTGCCACCGGGTGAGGGAGAGAGCCACCAAACTCATGTCACCCGTGGACCTGAACATCGGCTGGATGGCAATGACCGACCGTAGGCTGCGCGTGTCTCGAGGCAGCGGCGAGGCTTGCTCTGATTTCTGGCCAGCGGCCGTGAGGACAGTGCCAGTGCCCCGGGCAGGGGAGAAGGGCTTGCTGCCCCCGGTGCAGGGGTTGCCGGGTGCCTGTTTCGGCACGTACCTTCTGGTCGTACAGCAGGAACTTCTGGAAGTCGTACAGCATAATCTGGCACAGCTCCGGCCGGTCGACGTTGCTGGGGGTGCAGAGAGCCCGTCAGGCAAGCTGGGTGCGCCCAACGCTTCGTCCCACCCATCCCTGCAGCTCAGTGACAGCGGGCCAGCGTCAAGCCCCGGTTGCTACTCAGGTGTTATATTAACACGCCTGAGAGCTCAATCTTGGGATGGGGCAGGTGGGGGCAACTCATTGAATCCCAGACACTTGCTCCGCTCCCAGGCTGGACCTCACTGCCAGTGCCTGTGCAAACAGGGCAGGGACAGGGACAGGGACAGAGTCCTCATGTCCAGCTTAGTGTGTCCAGCTGAGCCCTGTGGTGCTGGGTGCTGCTGTGGGGGGCCGACAGGGCTGGGCTTGTAAGGAGATGTCTCTTCTGGGTGTCTCTCACACATGCAAGGATGAGGCTGGTTGTAAGGCCAGTGCCCTGGGCGGGCAGGGGGTCTCATTGACCCGGGGAGGGAGAGGAAGGGGGCAGTGAAAAGCCTGTGTACTCACCGTAGGGGAAAGGAGAGCTCCAGCTGCTCGATGACCTGAAACGGGTGAAACAGGCTGGTTAAACAGCTGGGAATAGGAGAGCACAGGCACTTCATCAGAGACATTGGGCACGCATCAGGCAAAAGGGCTCAGCAGGATGCCCGTGCCCCCCAAAGCAGCTGTCTTCCCTCCCTGGATCCTCTAATGAACCCAACGAGCTTGTCCCATCTCCCTGTTAGGGCACTCGCTGGCTGAGAGAGGCTGTTTCTCCATATGCCGTACCCACTGGCATGCGATGAAATGACCGCTCATGGAAACGGGCAACAGCATGCCCTCCCGAGGCCCCTCCAAGCAGAGCCACCCACTGATATTTGCAGGCTGGGGACACTTTTCCTATGTGAAGCTCCCACTGCGACCATTTGTGACTCGGTAAAACTGGCCAGGTCCAGACCCCACAGGGGGTCTGGGACAAAATTCCCGGTTTCACATCTGGCTGCCTTCACATCTGCATACAGCGGCAGGGTCTCCTGAGGGCGGGCAGGGTCTCTGCAGGTCCGGGCCTCTTACCGATTTCTGAGCATCGAACATCAGGTTCTTGTAGAATTGGGTGAAGTGAGAAAAGGACATCTCGTTCCTGGCTTCCACTTCCTGGTGGGAGAAAAGGCAGACTGAGCTGGTGACGACAGGCCATAAGATCCTGTTCCCAGATTAGTGTGAGCAGGGAGCACGAGAGAGGGGCAGGAAATACAACAAAGCTGCTTCTGTAGAGACCCTTTGACAACCTTTCTCAGGAAGCTCATTGCGTTTCTATCCAGCTGTACCCCAAGCACAGAGCAAGGCGGAGGAGCAGGCAGGGAAGGGGAGAATAAACTCAACCCCTTTTGCTGGGTTTGTCAAACCCCAGTTGTGGGAAAGCCCTCTTCAAACCTGTAGGGTGGTTCAAATCCTCAGGAAGCTTTGATCCAGTGGGAGTTTAGGGCCTTCTCTGAGGACCCCGATGGTATTTCGAGACGGCTCTACTCCTCCTCCATCCCACCCAAGAAGGGAGAAGGGGGCAGGAGGGTGTGAAGGGGGATGGGTTGGAGGACAAAAACCGAGGGAGGGCTGTTACCACGAGTTTGTCCCGCAGGAACCGCATGTTGGGCACCCGGTAGTTGACCTGCGGCAGCATGGCCTTGAGATCCTTCACGGTGATACTGCAAGGCACACAAAGCAGGAGTCAGGCTGCAGAGAGGCATGTGGATAGTCTGGGCTCAGGGCCAGGGACCTAGGGCACAGCCTTGGGAGCTCGCTGTCTCGGGGGGGCCTGCCGGGCAGTCTTTGATCTAGAGAGGTTTTCCTTTGAGGTTTAACACGTGCCTGGGATGAGCAAAGACACCCCAAACAGCTGATGGCACGGTAGAGATTTGTAGGCCCGCAAATAAACATCCCCAGCACATTTGCGTGGGGGGCATGCGTCCGTCTGCCTACAAGTCTTTGGTTTGAACCCTGAATCCCCAGCCCAGGCTGCCCACCCACCTCCCCGGCTGGGCATTCAGGTTAGCAGAGGTGTGTGTTGCATCTACAAACACTTTATTGTGCTTATGCTTTTCACTGGGTTTTCTTGAATGCCCCTGGGAGCCACTTGTGGGTGGAAGACGTGCAATATCTGATGTTTGCACCCTATTTTTGTTTTTGAACGGTGGAAAAGCAGTGAGTAGACCAGGCCACAGGTCAATTTGGCTGCAGAAATGGCTCCCCTGGGCACTAAACTCACCATCAACAATGTTAAGACAAATATCAAGATATCTGAGAACTTGCCAGGCTCCAGCTGGGACCGGGCAAACCAGCAATTTCATGGCTTGGTGGTCAAGCTGGAAGATCAGAAAGCAATTCATTTCACGTTGTCTCAAAACGGGGGCAGGGGGAGGGGGTGTCGGACTTTTTGGCAGGCCAAGAAAGCTGTTTTGTCCACCTTTTGCACCTTTTTTCATAAAAGCAAATGGGGTTTGGAAGCTAAGGTCTGACCACACAGATGGATTTGGTCGTCGGTCACAAAATGGAGGAGATGGTTGTCTTCTGCTTGGACACGGGAGATCGGGGCTTAGATCGTCTCTTTGGCCAGCTCAGAGCAAGGACTTGATCCTGGGCTCCTCACACGCGAGGCAGCCCCCAAACCGCAAGGCTATCAGCTTTCTGGGGTGGGTTTTGGTCAGTCTTGCTGGTTGGGGCTGTTCCATGTGGCACGATGGGCTTCAGTAGGCATCAGGGCAGACACTGGCACTCAAGGGCTATCCCCGCTTGACCACCAAGCCATGAAATCACTGGTCTGCCTGGTCCCAGCTGGAGCCTGGCAAGTTCTCGGATATCTTGATATTTGTCTTAACGTTGTTGATGGTGAGTTTAGTACCCAGGGGAGCCATTTCCGCAGCCAAATTGACCCGTGGCCTGGTCTACTCACTGCCTTTCCACCGTTCGAGGACCAAAATAGGGTGGAAATGTCAGCTATTTCACATCTTCCACCCACAAGTGGCTAGCTCAAAGGATCTAGCCCAAAGGATCACAACGATCCATGTCAGGAAGGTTGAAACCAGCCATTTGGGGGCTTCTGACCTTTCCCTTCATCTTTTTTCGCTTTGGAAACTTGTCGCGAAATCCATCCCCGGGTCACACGCGGGCCAGGCAGGCCCCGAGCTCCATTTATCATGGAATAAACGATCCAAAAAAATACCCATCACGGGAATCCGAAAAAATACCCATCAGGGAAAAAACTAGAAAAAATGCCCATCTTGGCCAAACCTAAGCACTCAGCCCAGCCATCCATTGTCAGCCTGTTGCCAACTTCCGACAGGAGATGGCGGCATCCTCCCCTCCCCAACAGCCACTCAGTGCAATTCCTGGGATTTCAAAGGCCTGGGTGAGATCCTCCAAAACGAGACCTCGTCTGCCCCAGAAGGCCTGGTCGGCACCATGGTGCTGGTCACAGACCTCCTCCTCGCCAAGAGGCAGCTGGGATGGGCTCAGAGCTGACCTGCCGTATGCTACCACTTGCATCGGGGTAGCTGTGTTGCTCTGAAAGGCAGTTTTCTTCTCTCTCCTGCCCAGCCCCGATGTGAGTTGCGTGTATACTCAGCTGGAGATCCCAAGATCCAGGTCAACTCATGCCACGGTAAAGGAGCCGCAGGAAGGAGGGAGCCCCCCCACTTCCCTGAGTGCTCAGAGCTGCCCCAGCCCGCCTGTATTGGCCGGTGACTTGCAGACCGGGGATGCTCGCATATTAAGGGCCTGATCCTGGGACGTGCTGGGCATCTGCTGAGCCCTGCAGGCTCCCCATGACTTATGAGGAACGCCTTGCCAGCTAGTCTTTGCTGCACGATGCAACGCGCCCGATAAAATCACCTCCATGGGAGTCTGATAGAGCTGGGAGCAGGCAGGATGCCCTGGGGACCCCTGCAGCAATTCTCTGGGGGCTTTTCCCCCTTGCCGCGAGCCTGAGACGGCCTTGCACAGCCAGCAAGACCACGACGGCTGGAGGATATCGCCCTGTTTTGCAAAGAGCCGATGGTTCCTCCCATTCTCGTCCCGTTTTCTGCATCATTTCCTGCCCCCTTCCTGGACAGACCCCCCCTGCTTCCTGCCTGATGTCCTGTTTACGGCACGCAGTGGGGCCAAAAGGTCTCCCTCCACCCCCTGCTGCTGCTCCTCATTAGCGCCTCGGGCAGAGCAGGGCCCCGATGGTGCAGGGGCCCCGCTCTGCAGGAGCAACATGATAATTATTTCATGATAAAGCAACACGGAAAACCTTGCTCTCTTTTCCCCTCCTGCCCCAGCTGACCCATGGCTCCTTTATTGTCCAGCAGCCCTGTCCCACTTCCCTGGCTTCTGTTCATTCCTGTTTGGCTCCCAAGGAGCTATTAGATCTGGCTCCCAGATGGCCCCAGGGGAGAACCAGGCTTTGTCCTGCTGCCTTCACACATGCAAAGCTCCTGGTGATGCTAACGGGGGCTCTAAAAGAGAGCTCGAGCGGTGGCACTGGGGCATCGGCTGCTGATGGCAAGGGCATGAAGACCCAGAGAAATGAGCCTTTCTGAGCCAGCTTGCATAAGGGATTGGGATGCGAGGGGTCAGCTGCTGTGCCTAAAGGGCGACCACTCCTCTTCCCAGATCCCTTGCTCATCTGGGTGAGATGAGGGTCTCTTCTCCTTGGCCTCGTCTGACCAACTCTTTGCTCCAGGGAGTAGAGGGGGGAAAGTTTCCTATGAGCAGGGACGTCACTCACCTGCCTTCTCTCGTCCTGTCCATCCCATCAAAGAGTTTCCGCAGCCACCTAACAAGGGAACAGAGAAGAAGAGGGTCAGCTTGGAGCCAGGGGTCCCCTCAAGTGCTGGGGGACCAGGCTGGGCCTTCTCCGCAGGAGACGGAGCCTCATGGAGAACTGGTAGCACCTCTGGGCCCCTCCGGATCGTTGGTGCTCTTTAGGATTAGTAAATGCATGGCCCCAAATCGGACCTGATGCAAACAGACCCTTCCCCACCTTTCACTTCCCTGTGCCCCCAGAGACACCCTGTAGCCAGCCCCGCTCAGGAATGACTGTGGGAGCTCGAAGCCGAGGTCCGGGGGATCCCAAGTCCTGCCCCTACCTCTCAATCTGCAGCGGCGTCTGGGCTTTCTGGGTGTCTGTCACCAGCCAGTTCAGGCCCGCTATCCAGAGGCTGACGTCTTCCTCGCAGAAGGCTGCGGGCGGAGAAGGGACAAGTCAGGCCAAGGTGGCAGGAGATGACTTGAGGTGGGGCTGGGCTGCAAAGGCAGCTTCTTCTCCTGAGCTCAGGGGTATTGGGGCTGCAGGGTTTAGGAGATGCTCTGCTTCATACTGACTAGACACATCCGCTTCTCTCTTTCAGTACTCACCGAGCTAATTTCAGCCTAAAATCTGCATTGCTACACCGATGAAAAGCGGGAGGGACGTGCAAGGAGAAAGATTGGCTTGGAACTGCTGGGGGAAGTGTCCTGTCTCCCCCCTGCCCTGTGACCCTCTCTCCCAGCCTGTGTGGCCATGTCCCACTGTCTTCCACGGCTGCTGCCCATCCTCTCCCTGAGACCAGGGGTGAGATGGTTGGGAAAGCTCTTGGGGCTCCCAGGTGCCCGAGACCTCAACATTTGCAACCCCCCAGGGAAAAGTGAAGATGTCTCTCATCACCCGCCCTTCATCCAGCACTGACCGGCCACACTGAGAGTCCGCAGCCTGAAATCGGGTCCATACAGGATGATGAAGCACATGGCGGCGTCCAGTTTCCGAGCATCTTCTGGATATCGTTCAAAATCCCGGGAGTTCTTCCCTGGGCGGATCTCTTTGATCTCTCGAATGTCAACTGGGGAGCAATGAGACGACCTTGTCACACTTTCCCAGAGGGACCTCTTTCTAAAGTCTTTTGTGCCAGGAGTCGGGGCAGCTTAATGAGTAATAAAGATGTAGTCCTGCAGCGCCTTGCAACTAACTGGATCGTGAAGTGCTCTGTGCATCTCACGCATAAAAGTCATGCTGCTCGTCACTGAAATGCAGCTACTTCTGGGATGGAGCACAGCAGGACACAGTTTCAGAGAGGGGGTGAGCAAGTAAAACCTCATGAGGAAGGGAGGAAGGAGGACACTTATTCTACTGGTGTGAAAAGTGCCAGGGACCTCATGCAAGTAAAACCAGGTGGGACCTGAAGGTTATCTGGGTAGCACAGGGCTACGGGGCTCTGGATCCCACATCTCAGGGGGGAAAGCACCCTCTGCATAGGCTTTTCTGGTGAGTGCCCCCTACAAGTCCATGCACAATCCAATTCTGCACCTTGGCTTATGCGTTGCACGCCTGTCTGCACGAGAGCCCGCGAGCCAAGTGCACCAGGCAGCACTCAATGGCAACCCTCGAAGAACCAGCTCAGAGGGGGACATTGTCCTGGTTGCAAGGAGGCTGGGACTCGGAGACTAGACTAGAGACCAACCAGAAAATGCCTGCGTATGGAGTCTCCCGCTCCTCCCATAGCAGAAAGCCTTGTTCGTCCCCGAGCCCTGGCTTCCCCAGCAGAGTTATTCGGGAGAGACAGGGCTACAGCCTGGACTTTGCTTGGGCAGAAAGCCAGCCCTGAGGCCCATTATGTGCCCCCCTAAGCTCTACCTCATTAGGACTGATGAAGGATTCAAGTGGTGCTTCAGCCTCGTGCTGCCCTTTCTGCACAGCCTGGGATTTCTCAAGGCAAAAGCAACATGCCGGTGGTCTCCCCAGGCACATCTCTAGCAGGGAATCCCCCCCTGAGAGTACCCACTATATGCCCAAGTCATGCACTTACAATGAACGGTGCTGGGCACAGATGAGAATTAATGCACGGGCTCACCAGGGCCAGGGAAAGGGTGTCGCAGGCATTAAGAGGCAAAAGCGTTTTCATCGGGCATGTGGCTGTGTCTGGGGGACGTGATGCAGAAGGGCCCTGCAAGACCTAGCCGGGGGTTAGGACCAAGGGTCAGAGAAGGTGCCCAGGGCACAGGCCTGAGGTGGGGGGCAGGATGGTGGTGTTCTCCACTGTGATGGAGAGAGGCAGCAATATCTGTCTCAGCTGGAGCTGACCACGGGACATGTCAGTAAAAGGCAGATGGAGAATTCAGCTTGGGCCGAAGGAGACACGTCTGCAGCAGAGAGGTCGGTCTGTGCATCCTCTCCACGGAGAGAGCAGCGGGGTATCTGCTGGCAGATGAGGTTACCCAGAAGTAAGGAAGGAGAAGAGAAGGGGAGTAGGAGGAGAAATAAGTGCAGGCAGATGGGGAAGCGGTGCCTGGAAGAGGACAGGGGTCGGGCGTGAGTCCAAGACGCTGGAAGGCAGCTGATATTGGGGTTAAGAGGGAGCATGACCACGGCGATGGGGAGGTTAGCATCACGAATGGGTATGGAAACAAAAAGGCTCTGCTCTCTCGTGCACCCATTCTCCCCGTGCCTGCCAGCACAGCAGTGGGGCAGAAAGGACCGGGAGTGGGACAGCACGTGCGGTGAACGGGGTCTGTGATGCCTCTGCTTGTTCCTTGTGCCATCAGCGGAGGGCAATGGAAATGGTTGTGGGGCCGGGGGACAGGACTGGTGAGGAGAGGCTGAGGGAACTGGGCTGATTGAGGCTGCAGAAGGGAAGACCGAGGGGGATTGAGTAGCAGCCTTCACCTCCCTGCCGGGGGGCTGCAAAGAGGACGGAGCTGGGCTGCTCTCAGTGGGGGCAGATGACAGGACAAGGAGCAATGGGCTCAAGCTGCAGCAAGGGAAGTTGAGGTTGGATATTAGGGAAAACTTTCTCACTGGGAGGGTAGTAAAACACTGGAACAGGCTCCCCAGAGAGATTGTGGTCTCTCCATCCTTGGAGGTTTTTAATACTACACAAAGCCTTGGCTGGGATGATGTAGTTGGGGCTGGTCCTGCTTGGAGCAGGGGCCTGGACTAGATGTGACCTCCTGAGGTCCTGTCAACCCTTATTGTCTCTGAGTCTGCGATCACAGACCCTGTGCAGAGAGGGGGCAGAAGGCTTGCACTGAGACTAGATCTGTTTGGTGTGAATGAGGGGCAGGCCCCAGGGCAGGGGACGGGGAGGCAGGTACAGGGTGCAGTGAGATGGACTCAGGAGAGCACTGGAGGGGGCCAGGCCCAAGGCAGGGGGTCCCTGGGCATTTCTGTGTTCCCCCCATTGCTGACCAGCAACCTATGAATCCCATGCCAGGCTGGAGTGCACCCCAGGGAAAGGATGGAGGGATGCCATCTGTGAGCACTGACCAGCAAACAGCTTGGAGATGTCGGGCCTCCTTCCTTGACCGCCCAGTTACCGCAAACACCAGCACGCCGTCAGGGAGCTTGCATCGCCCGTGTGCGGCTGCCAGCATCCCTGGAGTTGGCAGGGCCTGGCAGGATGCTAAAGCACCCACGTGCCCTCATCCTGCAACCGAGCCCATTTCTCTCCCCTCAAGCAGCCTTGTGCACGGTCCTGGCCCCCTCCGCTGCCTGGACTCTGCTCTCCCACTGGTCTCTGCCAGCTGGTACATCCCTGCTGCCCTTGCCTTCAAGCCAGGGCAGCCTTCAGCAAGACCAGGCAGGTCACACATGCCAGTGGTGCCAGCCAGGCAGGGTCAGCGTCCGGCCAGGCTTATTTCTAGCTGGCCCCAGATGGCTCCTACCAGGTCTGAGGCCCGTCAGGCGCTGCTTGTTGAGCTGAGACGGGAGAAGGGCAAGGTGGACGGACGCACTGGAAATGCAGTGGCTGCCGTTAATCCGCAGGACCCAGGGACTCCTTCGCTCCCTGCTGAAATGCAGCCAGCTCTGGGGTACAGCTCTGCCAAACCTGTGCAGAGATGCTGCACAACAGTCTGGGGTAGGAAAGGGAGGAGGATCCTCAGTGCCACACCAAGGGCATCGCAACTTCTGCTTGCTCAGTGTTATCCCTGGGCTTGACGTGCCCAGGATGCCCAGGTCAGCACTGCCCAATGCATGCAGCGTCCCAGGAGATCTCCATCAAGGGCCGTATCTCCTCCAAGGGAAACTGAGGCCAGGACACCTCCTACTGATCCTGCACCATGCTGGGACACTGGGGTCACTCCAGACCCCCCCCCCCC